CTAACGAGGGTTAGAATCTTGCCATGTACCCCCGCCCGAGTTCTTTCCCCACGTCCGCATGAACTTTGCAGAGCATTTGTTGGACATCGAGACGCTGAACAAGGTCGCACTGTACGCGGTTTCGGAGGGATGCGAGGTCATCAGGCCGGTGACCAAAGCCGAACTTCGAGAAATGGTCAAAGCCATGGCCAGCGCCATGGCCCAGGCCGGGGTGACGGTCGGTGATCGAGTCGCCGCCGTCATTTCCAATTGTCTCGAAGCCATTGTCGCCTGTCTCGCCGTCTTGAGCTTGGGTGCCGTCTGGTCCACGTCTTCGCCTGACATGGGCGTCGAAGGCATCATGCAGCGACTGAACCAGATCGAGCCGAAGGTGGTCATTTTCGAGAGCTCGGTCCAGTATAACGGAAAGCGGCGCCCTCTGGTTCAAAAGTGCGACGAATGTCTCGCCAGATTACGCAAGACGAGAAACTTCGAGCTCGGTATCGTGATCGTTCGGGAGATCCCATACGCAACCAAAGGCAAGACCAATGTTGTCTCGTGGAGCGAATTTGTCAACGGAGCTCCAGAGAGAGAACTCACTTTTGCCCAGTTGCCATTCAGGCAACCCGGATTTATAGTGTATTCGTCTGGCACGGCAAGTCTCACATTCGGGACTTGGGTAATATGATGTTGGCTGACGTGGACATAGACGGGTGCTCCAAAGTGCATTGTCCATAGTGCATGCGTGAGTCTAATTCGACTTGGGATTCGACGCCTAGAATTGAATTAACGCTGACTCGATTGACTCTGGCAGGCCATATTGTTACAAATCAAAAAAGACTATATGCTCCATTTGGATGTCAGACCGGGCGACACCATCTACCAGTATACTACCGTGCGACATGCCCTGAACAAAACATTGTCCAAAGACTCTCACTGACACATCTTAGACCGGCTGGATCATGTGGGCTATGGTTCTCTGTGGCCTCTCATATGGGGGCAGCGTTGTGCTCTATGACGGGTCTCCGCTCTATCCTGACCCTCTTGTCACGTTGCGCATGGTGGAGAAACTCAAGTACAGGGGTATTGCGCACAAGTCAATCAAACCCTTTGCTGATCCTTTATCGACAGAATATCATTATTCGGCACTTCCTCAAGGTTCTTGACCGACCTTCACGACAAGCACCTCAATCCCAGTAAGCAGAATTCTCACTTCGTAAGAGGGAGGCTTGACTGATCTCGCAGGGGAAACGATTGATTTAAAGAGCCTACGAACAGTCTCTTCGACAGGATCCGTCCTCCCAGCCAAGGTGTGCGAGTGGTTCTACGATGCTGGATTCCCGGAAAAAATCCATCTCGTGTCTGGTAGTGGAGGAACCGACATGGCATGCTCACGTAGGTCGGCCGAACCCAGACATTCTCTGTTCATTCGAGCTGACTTCTGTCACACACAGTTGTCCTAGGTGACCCTACTAGCCCTTTGTATTCGGGAGAAATTCAAGTGCCAGCCCTGGGCATGGCTGTTGATATCTTGGACAGCACAAAGGACTATCCCGTGTCGATCAAGAACACTGGAGAACCGGGAGAGTTAGTCTGCACCCAACCATTCCCCTCTCAGCCAGTTCTCTTCTGGGGCGAGAAGGGCATGGAGAAGTACAGATCAGCCTATTTCGACCGATTTGGCGACAAGGTCTGGACACAGGGGGATTTTGTCTCGTCGTCGCCCGCTACAGGTGGCTTTACTATGCTAGGCCGATCGTAAGCTCTTCCGCCTACTACCTCCCCCCTCCTTGCATTTTTTATTCAGACTGACGTTTTCCCAAGTGACGGCGTACTCAACCCCTCAGGTGTCCGATTTGGCTCGGCAGAAATCTACAACGCGGTGAGCCAGTTCCAGGAGTTCGAAGACACCCTGTGCGTGGGTCAGCGTCGGCCGCAAGATTCGGATGAGCGCGTCATACTCTTTATCAAGATGAAAGACGACCGGCCTCTTCCCAAATCCACCATTGTGGCCGTTCGGTCTGCCATTGCGACCGCCCTGAGCCCCCGCCACGTGCCCAGCTTCATCTTCCAGACCCCCGAGATCCCCTACACGATCAACGGGAAGAAGATCGAGTTGGCCGTCAAGCAGATCGTCTCGGGTCAAAAGGTCACACCGTCCGGGGCGGTGGAGAACCCTGGCAGCTTGGTATTCTACGAGAAGTTTGCCAAGGACGAGTACTTGAAGGAGGACAATGGCAAAATATACTCGAGCAAGCTCTAAACCTGAAGAGAAAAAAATGGGTATAAGCCGTTTGGTATCTTCGATTTCCTGAAGAACCTGTGGGGCTTGAGATTGGGGGGACGTGGTCAAAGTTGGAAGCGGTCAGACAAGCAAAATCAAGAATAAGATGGTCATTCGGTAGATCAAGGGCCTGCAATACATCTTGTAGAGACAATTCGTCGCAGACGTAGGCTTCACTACATCAGCCACCTCCACCGCTTTCGGCTCCGGAGTCTTCGATCTGCGAGAGTCGACAAACACTTCGCAAGAGAGACTATTCTAATAGATCCACCCCTAGATCATAATCGCTTGCTACCCCCTTTACCTTCGCCCGCTCAGTTTCCTTGCAGTGCCTTGACCAGCGGTGCAGAGTCCTGCCGTAGAACCAAGTTCGTTAGTTCCCGTGTCCAGAATGGCCCAAAAAAGAAGAAGGGAATAAAGAAAAACGTACCGCCCAAATTTGGTAAAGAAGGAGCTTTGGCTGCGACGACGTCGGATTCTCGACGCGAAGCCTCCCGGTAAACTCTCCGGCCACGCTTTTGCCGTTGCGGAGGCCCATTGCCACATGGCCGATGAAGAGGAGGTCGCTGCCGTCGAGGTCGGCAGAGAAGACCTTCAAGACTTCGTGGCGGCGGCTGGATATCACTTTCCACGCGTTTTCTCTGGACTTGCGAATCTCTGTGACAGCAGCCAGCGGTCAGCCATCAGTTTCGTTCAGTCGTCAGCGAGAAGGGCACGGAACGTGAGGAAAGAAGCAGGGGGGGCAGAGCGAACTTGCCTTCGGGTCCAGAGTACAAGTGTCCTCCAAACTCTGCCTGTCCGGTCTTTGCAAAGATGTCGTCCGCCAGAATGTCTCCAACCTTGGGGTCCTGCTGGTCTAGCTGCCAGAAGAACTGGTCGATGAGCTCCTTGACGGCCTTGTTGATCTCGAATGTCGGCCATTCCGTCTTTTCTGTATTGTAGCCCATTTTTCCTAGGTGGGGGTGTTTTTTGGCCTCAGGTAGGTCGATTCCAAGTCGAGAGAGTATAGAAGCCAATTGTCTGTCTCAGCCCAATGTCCCTCTTTCTGTCAGAGGAAGTGGTTACTCACGAGAAGTCAGGTAAGGGACGAAGTACTTCTCCCAGGCGCGAGGGTCCTGTAGAAGAACGGATAGCTTCTGGGAGACTAGGAGGGCTATGGTGTTCTCCCCTCTCCGGAAGCCGGGGGCACACAACTCCCCGGCCAATTCGGGCAATTTTATCAAGGTAACTAGATTGGGGAATTTGGTGTGGTCCACACAGACAGGTGTCTCTTCCGAGCTCGTCCTCTACGTGAGCCGAACGGAGGGTTCGCTATTACACCTTTTCTTTTTCGGTGATTGACTAATAATCTTTCTCAAGATCTTTTTTGGTTTCAATCTGCTTCCAGCCACTTCCACCCTCTCTCTATCTCGCTGAATATTGGTTAGATTTTCTGTGGTAGGATAGAGATCCAGATCCAAAAACCGCAATGTATGATAACACCACAGCAGCCGCTTTTCGAGGCTTTCTCAACGGATCGGAAGCTGGTCGTCATGTCGTGTGGTGTAGCTCTGGTCCACAACCGAAGCATCATGCTAGGATTATGTCGCCCACATTTACCACAGCGCGTAATTAAGCCCGCAGACGAGGCCGTGGCGCTTCTATGGAGCTGACACGAGCACATTACCCTCGAACTGTAATGCCAACAGAGGTAAAGACGGAGATGGGGGCATCTGGCAACACTTGTCAGATTCGTCTAGCGGAGGCTGTCCATGGAGACGGCTCACGTGGTTGAGTGGATGTAATAGAGCCATTCTTTACCATCTTTCTCTTCTGTCTCACAGAGACGAGGGGGTTGTGGTCTCTGGTGCACTTGTAATCATCTCCGAGTAGTGCCATCACCCAGGGATCTTATTTCCAGTGGGAGAGTGGCTGTGATCCATATTCCGATGTCTTGTCTCGTTGACTACAGATAGATCGCCGACAGGGGTTGGACAAACAACATCCATCATACGTTTTCGTGAACTTCAAAGGATCGCCTCGGCATTTTCCAGTGGTTGTATCAGGCAACTCATCTGCATCGTAGCGATGTCAAGAACAGGTGGAAGGCATCAGAGGCCATTCGTACGATTCGAAATCTACCATGTCCATGGTTGTGAACTTTTGATCATGGCATATGTCAGTAACATGTCTTTGAGAATGGCCGCGCAGGGTCTATTCCACTAACCGCCATATCAGCGTCGAGGTTGAACAATTGGTCAAGATCCGAGGTCCACTGGCGCGAGTCTGGCTCTCGATGCTGTTCGCGGGACTTGGAAACCAGAGTGCGAGCATAGTCAGCAACCTCTCGAGGAAAACTTATGCTCAAGTGCCCGCTACTGGCATAGTCGAGCCTGGCGAACGTCCCGGCAACGATGTCGATCAAGGTAATGTCGGACTGCGCGGAGGGATTGTTGGGCGAGCGCACCGTGTTAAGGAACAGATTCATGGTTGCGAGGATCGGGAAATAGAAAACCAACCTGGCACAACAGGTTATGGTCAGCATCCGGAGAGGGCGACCATAGAAAGTCAAAGAAAGGGGGACTCGAACAGGCGCAGGCTTGGAAAAGACTCACCAAGAAGGGGTGGTGGCGTCGATAGGGAACTTTTGAGAATTGAGGACGATGACCCGAGATGACTCTGCGATGGTTTTACAGCTTTCCTGGATTTGCTTGACGTGCTCGGGCCGCTGGCTCTGCTGCAGTTGATTGCTTCTCCAAGGCTGTGTGATGGCGGAATGCAGCACACACATGGATCCGTGAAAACAGTGCTGGAGGAACAGGAAGTGGATGTGGCTAATCCGAGGGTGCAGGACCTTGGGTCGCTTGGGCGTGTAGAGGAGATATTCTTGTCCCAGGTCTGCATACCAGGATCGCAACTCAGCGTCTAGTCTCTCGATGGTCTTGCAGATCTCCTCAATCGACCGGAGCCCGAACTTCGTCCCGTAACACTCTCTCTCGATGGCGTAGGAGATCTGGGCATGGCGGACGGAAGCAAGTAACAGGCCCAGGTCTGTGGAGGTGTCTTCTCGGGCTTTGGTAGGTAAAGCAACGTTGATATCGTCGTCGCGAATCATCTACGCGATGAATTCCGTCAGAATATCCACCAAGACATTCCAGGGATACGGATGACTCTTACCGAGGGTCGACCAGACCTACAGGCAACGTGCTTGTCGTACATGTACAATACCCATAGCAACCAATTTCGCGTCACCTTTTCGGATTCGGATAGGATACAGGAGGAGGGGGGTTGTAGATGAAGACGTTTGGAGTAGGCCAACCGGACTGCCGTGGACAGCAACATATATTCCAGAGAAGGCGCCGAGATAGCCTCGCAGTACAACGCCTGTGTCGACATCAGCCAAACGAAGCAGCAGTACGTTATGGGAATTCGGCCTACCATGAGCAAGGTACACTCAACAGCAGTAATGTCTGACGGCATGTAGAGTAGATTGGTGAGGACAGCCAAAGCATTCTCAAAGTACAACCAAGATTGTCTCTGCGCAGTTGTATAGCTCATAGGTCCACTGCCTCGACACAGTGCAATCCTGCTTCCTACCGCAAACACGGTGTTTCGGAGGCTGTACCATGGCGGGTCACTATCAGCAGGCAGAGGGTGCGAATAATGCTGCTGAAGTCTACGCTCGAACGCCTGGCGAGGCACGAGTCCCAGAGTGTGCTCGATGCTGTCTTCAAAGAAGGCTAAGAGACGATACCGGGTCAGCGACAGATTTTGAGTAGTGAGACAGTCACAGAACTGACCTGTAGCCCACAGCAAAGCTGTCTCGTAGTCTGGATCGGGTTGCCGTTCGACCGAGAGCGGCTTCGTCATCTTTAACGATCGCGTTATGGTGACGGTCAGCCGGCTTGCGCTATGGTGAAAGTCCGAGTTACCCAGCTGCTGGCAAATCCACTCGACTCCGTGTGGAGAGCAGATGGTCAGGAAAGAGGCTTTGCCTGTCACCACGTTGTCAATGTCTACTTTGCCAAAGGAATCCCTGTCAGTAATCGTACCAATATGCTCCTGGATGTCGCCCTAATAGATCAGATTCAGCCACTGAACTCCAAAAGCGCGATATACTTGATGGGAGAAGACTAACCTCCTGCATAGGGGATGGGGGAGTCCCATCACGCAGTTCGCCAGCATTTTCCGCGACAAGACTCGACTCGCTTGTGGCTGTGTTCTCGCCAGCGTCCTGTCGCGTGGGCGACGGCACCTGCCGCAGATTTTCGCAGGAAGTGGGAGCTATCGCTGACGTTGAACCGTTGTTGGGTTCATTGTCCAAGTTCAAGACCGGGTCGGCCAGCGATAGATTGACTTCTGAGGCTGCAAGATCACGAATGTCAAAGATAGACGGAGCCACATCCGCTGAGTTGGATACCCAGGTCGGCACTCCAGGCGAAGTATTGTCAGAGCTATCCGGTGGGGCGAATGAACGGCATGTGGAAGGGGATTTAGACGATGACTCTGACCTCGCCGACGGTTGGATAGATATGGGACTCGGTTGCCGTTCCAAAGCCTCATCGACATACGGTCCGGGAGCAGATGGAGCAGGCGTTGATCTTGTCGGAGCTTCGTGCTGCCAAAGTAGTTGCTCCAGAGATGCAATCCGTCGCTCCAGAAAGGTCTGGCTGTGACTGGTTTTCCTCCTGGAAGACTTGTCGGGAAAGACACATTGCTCTCTATGGGACTGCTCGTCGACGATCCGAATCAGCTGGCGCTCGAGGGGGCACCAACAAGGTGCGACCACTTACTACACAATTTGTGCACGGCCGACTTCCCGTGCCTGTGCGTAGTTAGTAGTTGTAGAGAAAGAAGAAAGGTAGTCCGGCAGGATTGGTGGTGCGAGTGCCCTCCCTACATTTGGCCTTCTTCAAGCGGCAATAGTTGCAAGCGACTGAGCACTTGGGGATCTCGGGACGAGCGGGCATCTTTGCAGTCTGCCTGAGTGGATTCCCGCGTATTCACACGCCTGTGCTCTTGCGCGAAAACCAACTGCGGTCAACTCATGGGCGCTCTGGGGGTGCTCAAGGGACTCTCTTATCTTATGCAAGAGGGAACAAGCGAAAACTCAAGCTCTCAGGACAGCAATTGCGAGAAGAGACGGTAGAAGCTACAAGCCTTCTTGACTATTGCCACTGCCAAGGCATGGCATTCGTGCCCTTTCGAGAAACATTCCCCAGGATTTGTGGGGGTGGGAAAGGGGGGGAAGAGGGAGGAGGGTTGTTGGACTTGGCGATTGTTCTCAACCAGTTAGCCATGCGTAATTACAAGGCAGGTTACAGGTCTAAACTCAGAAGCGAGCTTGGAATACAAGCTGGGGAGTGCACGGGGACGCGTAATTTTGTGTTCCGGAGAATACGGGCTGCCTCCTCCGGTAATCAATTAATACCAGCTATGCTGCCTAGATACCTTGGTATGCAGAGGAATTGAGGGTAACCTGAGTTTCCTGGTCACCATACTAGACAATGCTAGCTACTCTTTCATAATGTCTGTTCAGCCTGACAGTTTCATTGCACCGGAATGCTGCGGGGGCCAATCTCGACTCGTTTCTTCAATTCCTCGGGACTGACCCCGTTTCGTAGCTTCTCGATCATCTCTTCTGGGTCGAAGTCGGTGCCAATTGGGTTTTCTTCGAAATACTTGGACATCATGAACTGTGTCGCTTCCGCAGAAGTCTCAAAGTTGTCAACCTGAGTCTCGATCTGATTGCCGTCCGGGTCGGCGTAGTATATGCTGGTCGTCGGTCCGTGATTGACGCTCCATATTGGTAAGATGCCTAGTTCTTTTCGTTCTCGATAGGCTTCGAGGAGGTCCTCCAGAGTGTCGAAAGAGAAGGCCGTATGCTCCAACCCACAGGCCTTGGGATTTTTCGGTGCGGTTCCCGGAATGCCAGCGATGGCAATGCGATGGTGTTCATCGTCGTAGGATAGGAAAGACAGGAAATCGTTTTCAAAGGCGGCACTGGCCCCTAGGAAGTCCTTGTAGAATTGTACCATCTTTTGGAAGTTGTCGGCATTAGTGCGAAGGACGACGTGGGCGAACTTGGTCGGCCTCCTGACGACAGGTTTTGATGCCATGTTTCGAGGCTGCTTGTCCACGAAGTTTCTGCTCTGAAGACAGTTGTTGACAATGTTTCGAGTCAAAATCAGCTTGAACGGGCTCCGTCAGCCTTGATAAAACATAGCTGGCCGCGCATTGGACTTTGATCTTCGGCCGGAGGCAATAGACCAGCACCCTCGCTCCCCGGGAATACTGACATAAACCGTCTAAAATGTATCCAACCCCGGACTCGGAAGGGCCTCCGAGCCAATGAAGCCATCCGGGGAGGGGCACTCCTCCTCACACGGGGGAGACACTTTGGGGGATCGACCCGAGTTAGCCAGAGGAGAATTGATGCCGGGATATAAGTGTTCATGAATGCATCACGGAGCTATGTAGTGTCCACGCACTTCATTCTTAGCAACCAAGACCCTTTTTGCGTCACTCTACGCATTATGGGCCAGCAACTTACCCCCATTGTGCTCGCTACAATCGTAGCAGGCATCGTCTTCTATGGCATATACAGGATCCTTCAAGTTGGAAAGCGACCCGCAGACCTTCCTCCCGGCCCTCCCACGATACCAATCCTAGGGAACATTCACCAGGTAAGACTTCTCAAGAGCGGCACACGCGGTGCAATTAGTGACTGAGTATGATCATAGATCCCGACCGAGCGACCTCATCTCCAGTTTCAGAAATGGGCGCAAGAATACGGGTCAGTAGCCCAGCCCAACTCTGTCTTCGCCCTTTGGACTCTGACTGACGAGCGAAAAGCCCCATCTACTCCCTCATGCTTGGGACCCAGACCATGATTGTCCTTTCGTCACCAAAGACCGTCAAGGACCTCTTGCACAACAGGAGTGCCATCTACTCTTCGAGACCGGACATGTACCTCGCACACGACGTGGCCAGCAACTGTCAGCGATTCGTGACCATGGTCAGCTCCTTATATCCCAACTTGCAGCGAAAAACTGGGATCAGAAATGCTAATTGCCATGCAGAAATATGGCCCCATGTGGCGCCTCGTCCACAAAATGATGCACAACACGCTCAACATCAAGACCGCTGTCGCCTACATCCCCTACCAAGATCTTGAGAACAAACAGATGCTGCTAGGCCTTCTTGAGCGACCGGACGACTTTGTCCTGCACCTCCGACGATACACCAGCTCACTGACGACCCAAATGGTTTATGGCTTCCGCACCATCAGTACAGAAGATCCACGGATGCTTCAATTTTTCACGGTGAGCTACCTCTCAGGCTGATCCCAGTATAAAGGTAAGTACTTTTATGCTAACCGTCATGGCTCCCAGGGTTTTGAGAAATGGGGCAAGATAGCTGGTAGCGCCAGCGCTCAGATCATGGACTGCTTCCCCATTCTTCGCAAACTTCCCAGCCCGGTCAACCCGGAGTACCGGAGTGCCAGAAAACTATACGAAGACGAGCGAAAGCTTTACACTTCTCATTGGATGGATGTCAAGGACCGAATTCTGCGTGGAACCAGTCTGGTGTGTCAATTCCTGATGCGCAATCTCTGTCTGAACCTGTATACTAATTACGAATGACTTTGCCCCCAGCCATGTTTCAGTGTCGATGTCTTCCTGTCCCAACAGACAGAGAAATTTACCGACGAACAAGCTGCATACATCTCTGGCTCGCTTCTCGAAGGAGGCTCTGACACTACTTCGGGGACGCTGGTGGGATTCATCCAGGCCATGTTGATGTTCCCCGAGGCGCAGAAGGCCGCACAGGAGGAGATTGATAGGGTCGTTGGCCCTGATCGGATGCCAGTCATGGATGACGCTCCCAACTGCCCATACATTCGCTCTTGTGTCAAAGAAACGATTCGGTGGATGCCAACCATCATCTTGGGATCTCCCCACGCTGTGATTCAAGAGGACCACTACATGGGTTACAGGATTCCCAATGGCGCTTCTGTCGTCAACAACAACTGGTGAGTTGTCCGAGGCCCCTATCAGCCTTGCCCCCTACTCCTACCATGAGACCCTTGTCGTGAGACCGACAGGACTGACCGACACGAAACAGGACGCTCAACATGGACCCCGAACGCAACCCGAATCCCCGCAAGTTCGACCCGTCGCGCTTCATCAACGACTCCCAGACCGAATTCCAGTCCGCGACCAACCCCGACGAGAACCAGCGTCAGAACTGGATCTTCGGAAACGGCCGCCGCATGTGTCAAGGGATGCACATTGCCGAGCGGTCGCTGTTTCTCGCCACAGCGCGCATCGTCTGGGCGTTCAACATCGACAAGCCGATCGGTCCGGACGGGAAGCCCGTCGAGGCCGACATTGACGACCTCGTCGGCGGGACCACGGTGCAGCCCAACGACTTCCGCATAGCCATGACTCCGCGCAGCGAGAAGAAGGCAGAGATGATCAGGCAGGCGTGGCGGAACTGCGAGAAAGAGCTCCTCGACCCCGTCACAAAGCAGTGGAAGAAGGTGCCAGAAGGCATGAAGTTTGGGAAATACATTCCCGAGAAGAATGTCATGGCTTGATCGGGGCTTTTGGAGAGCAGACGCTTAAGTCCCCCTTGCGCTGGAACGGGGAAGACGGTGCTGGCCGAATCGTGGCCGCATCATGAGACGTACAATCAAAGTATATATACTTTCTGTTATGATTGATCGGGAGAGACTCGACTGATGTTCGAATGAATTGCTCAGCGCTACACGACTAACTGAGCAACACAAAGTGACGTGTGTTGGGTGACAACTTTCTCCAAAATAGAGACTGTATCCAAGATACGCCATCTATCTAGTTAGTCCTTTCTACAACTTTATCGTTGAGCTCGAACCCGCCGTCTCTTGCTTGTAAAGCTCCCGTAGATGTCTCTTCAGGTACTTCCCACTGGCCGTCTTGGGCAGGGCCGGCACAAAGACAACACCCCCACCCAGCTGTTTGTACTTGGCTAGACGGACTGCGACGTACTGTTTCACTCCGTCTTCGTTCAAGGTCTCGCCGACGTCTCGTCGGTCCGTTTTTCGTACAATGTATGCGCGGGGCAGTTCGCCGTCGACCGGATCAGAGGACGGCACGCCGATCACGGCGGCGTCAGCGATGAGGGGATGTGACATGAGCACGGCTTCGAGCTCGGGAGGCGCGACTTGGAAGCCGCGTACCTTGATTAGTTCCTGTATTCCACGGCCCGCGGGGAAAGTGTTAGACAGAGTTAAGTGCCCGAGAGGTCGGAAAGGGACCAAGAGAAGGGGTCTACCTTTTTCCGATCCACGATATACCACTTCTTGGTCGTCTGGTCGCAATACGCCACGTCGCCAGTGCGGAACCATCCTGCAGAGAATGAGGAGGAGTTCGCCTCCGGATTGTCCAGGTATCCCTTGATCACTGTCGGTCCACGGATCCAGATCTCTCCCGTTTTGTTGTAAGCCTTGACCTCGCGTCCATCATCGTCAACGAGCCTTTTGAGCGATGTCAGTTCGAATGGAGAACGCACACCTCGGGAGACCTCTTCAAACTCACTTCACCTCAAGGTTTGGCAGAAAGTAGCCAATGCTTCCATCTGTGTCGACGGCGGGCCACGGGTGGCAGGCGCCGATGCAACTGATCTCGGTCATGCCGTAGCAAGGGTTGATACAGCCGTCCGGATGCATCAGGGCGGTAAATCTCTGCTGAGACAGCAGGTCGATTTTGGCGCCGCCCGTCATGCCCGATCGGAGGCTTTTCAGCGAGTATTTGGCCGTCAGGGGTGACTGCAGGATCGAGACGATGACTGGTGGCACCACGAACAGCTCGGTTACTTCATACTGTTCGGTGAAGCGGAGGAAATCCTCGAGCTGGAATCGAGTCATCACATAGGCGATATGGCCAGAGCGAAGGGGCGTGATGTGGGCCATTATGGCCATCGCGGCGTGGAAGAAGGGGAGACAGAGGATTCGCTTGACCTAGGATGAGGGCATGTTAGCCTTGAGATGCAGAGACTTGGCCTGAAAGACAGGGAAAAAACTTGCTCTGTAGGGCTTTTGTACTTGCTCGTGGAGCAGTGTGTGTTGGGCGATCAGGTTGTGATGCGAGAGACAAGCAGCTTTGGGCAAACCCGTGGTTCCTGAGCTGAACAGGATACAAGCGGGTGTAGACTGTGCGGTGGCCATGTCGTCGAACCGTACCCAATCCTGCTCCCCCTGTTGTAGCAGAGTTTGCCATGATGTCGAAGAAACCTCCCCCCGTGATAGAGAATCAAACCTGAGCACATCTTCCGGGGATATGTTGCAAGATCTGGCGGCTGATAGGATCCCATCGTACAGCTCCGGCTGTGCTATGACGAGCTTGCTCTTGGACGTCTTTAAATGGTGCTGCAGTTCGTATTCTGTGTAGCCGGGGTTTGTCCCAGTCCAGGTGAATCCTGCTCCGATGATGGCTAGACAAATGCAGGAATAGTACAACTATCCATAAACCTTTAGCGAACTTGTCGTTTACGGAGAAGATGATGTAGACCTGTGCCAGGCGAACCCACATTGTTGAACGCGTGGATACAGACGCAGTCGCCTCTCTCCAGTTTCCGGGACCGGAACCCGGCGATGAGGTGCCTGATCAGAGTCTTAGCCTGCCTCGAGCTGACGGAACGGCTTGGGTCGACGGGGTCAATGTAAATCTGGGGACGCAGTTGAGTTATGAGGAGCTTCGAGTGAGTGATTGGCCAATGCTCACCGCTTCATCTTGTGAATACTTGACATTGTCAAAGATCCACGAGAGAAGGTCTTTTGCCGGTATGTCCACCGTCGTTGTTGGCTGGAAAAACACCTCCTGGTCCATTTCCATATCTCGTCACGTTATTGAGGATGGGGAGGCTGGAAACATGGAAGAAGTCGTTAGCTTGAATACTCTGATGGTTCACAGTTTCAAGATGAAATAGGCCCGATTTCACGCATAGATACGACGCAGAGATGTCGGTATATTATATATTTAACACACTAGCCGCAAACCTCTGACACTCGTCAGGAAGTGCTCGGGCCGATGCTATCCACTGGTCACCGAGGGTGTATGTACTTGTGGCACTCAGTGGTAAGTGGGTAATGGAAGCTATCGACACGATTGATCTCTGGCTAGGTTACGGCGAGAGGGCGTTCAGTTCTTGGGTACACGCATTCACGAACCCCAGCCACTCTTCTCCGAATACTTAGCAGCTGGCTGACATGTATAGAACTACAGTATCGAGCTAGATGCCTGGGATTGAACCATGGGTTGAAAAGGGAAGATGATTCTTGCTGCTTACTCTCTCTCTCTCTCTCTTCGCACACATACAAATTGGGATCAGGGCCGAATATTGACGGATTGCCCTGTCTCTAGCTGTAATAGCTCATTCTACCCCGTACCTCATCCTATATCTCCCAAGTGCTTCTGATGATAGAAGACGTAGGGGATACCAAAAGCCCTCCTTCATTCCGTGTGTCTAACGATATACCCTCCAACAAACAATCAATGATCTTACGTCCAGTTTCCCCATAGAGATGGTCTAGGATAGAGTGCTTGTTTTGAGATCCGCGTTGACCACTTCGTGCTCTGAGAATTCCGGTTCTTGCTTTGAGACTCTCTCGAGAGAAGCATCATCGGCAAGAGGTGCCAGTTCTTCGACCACTACATCTCCAAAGGCCTTGCTGATCTGCTCCAACGTGAGTCCCTTGGTCTACAGTGTCTCAGTTAGTATTCGAGTTTCCGTTTCCATCAGTAGAAGGGTATATTACCTCTGGGAAGAAGAACTGAACGACTAGTGCCATCACGGTGGTGAAGCAGATGAAGACGAGGTAGAATTTCCTGGCGGGTGTTGTTGTCAGTATCTCCGCCGTTCGGGGTCTCTATTCCTCCTCAATGGCACACTGGAGACGGAACATACCATTTTATGTTCTCAAAGGCTATTGCAGCAGCGCCGTTCAGGATCGCCGACCAGATCTGGACGGCGGACAGCGAGACACCCACCCCCGATGCTCTCCACGCGGCAGGGAAAATTTCAGCCGAGTACACAAACGACGGACATTCAACCCCTGCCGCGAAACTTGGTACGGTGTCAGCGTCACTCTGGAACAGCGGAGGTTTCTAACTCACAAGCACACAAAGAGGAAGATGAAGAAGGTGGCTGCAGAATTCGCAGAGTCGTTGTCTGAGCCGGAGTATAAGGCACTCAAAATGACCGACATGACAAGGCAGAATAAGCAGCCCAGAAGTCCATACACTGTTAAGCTTGGTCAGTGACTGTGAAGGGATCGCTCAGGAAATATACCTTACCAAGCTGGTGAACGCGCCCAATCTTGTCGGTGAGTATGCCACCAAGTAGATTGAAAATCATCAGGAGGAGTGTCCAGACACCAGCGAGGATGCCTTGAAGGAACGGGCTGAAGCCCAATCCGCCATATATGACAGACGAATATGCTGACGAGTGTTTAGTTCATCATATCGACTTTCGATACACAAGTAACCACCCCCAACTTACTCAGAATCACAATGGAGCCACTAGACTGCGACGCTGTGTTGACCAAGAACCCAAAGATGAAGCGCTTGCGCATGTGGGGGTCCTTGAGACCTTCCCAGACGGTCCGCTTGCGCTCTGCTTCGAGGTCGAGCTGTGCCTTGATGTTCTGAAACTCGCGGTGTGCATAAGAATGGGAGGGGTCGGATCTGTCCTGATGAAGTCGTACCAAAGTCTGCTCTGCCTCTTTGACGCGGCCGTTCAGATATACTAAGCCGAGTCAGGTCTCTTGCGCCGCAGACAGGAAGAAGCAAACTCACGCCAACGGGGACTCTCCGGCAGCAGAGGGATAATGCATAGCAAAGCCAGAGGCGAGACGCACTGGATGGCGAGCGGCACCCGCCAGCCTGCCTGGCCGTTCACATGGAAGAATGCCACGCCGATCCATTGTGCGACAGTAAAGCCTGCTCCAACGATTCCTGCGTGAAGTCCAACCAGAAAGCCCCTGTTATGTGCCGGGGCGACTTCGGCTTGGTACAGCGGGCAACCAGGGAGGAAGTGGCCAATTCCTATACCGGTGACGACCCGTGCCACACACATCATGGCATTGTGTACCGCGCCGGCTTGCAATGCTCCACCCACGATGACGAAGACAGATCCCACGCCTAGCGGAATACGTCGACCAAATCTCGAGGAAGAAAGTGGATAGAGGCAACACCCGATGAAGCCTCCTACGTACAGCAAAGCGCTGAATGCCGCGACAAGACTGTTTGTGTGAGACACGCCGGGTCCTTCGAGGGCGAGGTCCAAGTATTCGTAGAACTCGACGTGGCTAAAGATGTTGGCCATGATGGATGCACAGTATCCGTAGCTGAAGCTACCCAGCGTGACGGCCAGGACGACCTGGACCGAGTCAGTTGACGGCGACCCGACCCGAAACGACTGGAGGGGCAAAGGGGCTAAGCTGTACCAGGATGTTGTATGTAGATGTGACTTCGCCCATGGTGCTCGATCGACCAGATCAATAACTCATTCGGTGTCTGCAAGGATAACGACAGGGCTGACGTCCGGTTCAGGAGGTATTTAAGGACGAGGCCTCGGCGAGTTACCTGAGAGGCTCAGGACGTCAGGTACGACAAGAGAGGTACACCTTTCTGGACTATACCCCGGGTTCGGCTTTGTCATTCCCCTCAACACTCCAGGAAAAGGACTCGGCACCGACTTTGTGCTGTACCTCATTGGGCTTAATATGAAGCTGGGGTATGGAGGGCACTTTGTAACGGTCCGGTTTGCCCCCTAATTTGGCGGTGTAAAAGCCAACACCATTACAGTGACTGATAAACCACATCTCTTGGAGCATGGGTGTATATCTGGATCAGACTCTGGGGAGTTTCTGTTTAATGCATGCACGACGACAGAGCCTGGAATATGACTTGGCCCCAGGAGCCTGTATCGGATTCTGAGTCTGTAAAACGCGCCGTACGAGATAAACATTGCAAACAAGTTGAGGACGGCTTTTGAGGGAGTCTGACCAGCTCTCCAGGACGTCAAGGAAACAAGCATTTACAAGAGGCCAAGGCTGGAATACAGGGCATCTTCGGCGCTGCTTTATGTCCGCGTTGATCAAAGCTTGAATGATTTGATGGGGGTTAGAATGGCAACGTGGTAGCTACAATATCCCTCGAAATAATCCACCTCGCTGGCCCTAATCTCTGGTTGAAGATATCGAGTAGTCGGTAACGACAAAGCACCTAGTTGACTTCGGCCCAGTTGACCTCACCATGTAGAAAAGTGAGCTCGTACACCAGCTAGGGTTTGTATGAGATCTGTGAGTATTTAAAGCCTTCGAATACTCCCTCCAGGTGGATAATATTGGCATCTTTGTTGATCTCTCTACCAGTCTATGACTTCAGTACATTGGGACAAAACTGGCAGACCAGAATGCCACCAGGCTATTCTGAAAGAACGAGATCTCTCACTCGGCGAAGAAAGAAGTGAAGGATTCGTGGCGTTGGCCGAGCATCGGTGCCGCACATTCGGCGCCGAGGTGTGGAGATCACAGCCATTGCGAGTTTGGACCTCGCCCTCTTCGATCAAGCGACGGCACGTTCTTTCCGTGCATCATTCCTTGTAATGACCGAGGCGAGGTCCCAAGGTTCCCCCATTTCCGGATAAGCGGCATCATGGGTGAGCGCTGAGCACTGTTCAAGTCCCATACTGGAGCACAAATAAGGTCTAGTGACATTGGTACTTCTTGGACTTGTACATCGTGTATGTATGTAACAGGGCATGGTTGAGGCAATGACGCCTGGGGATGCAAGACTAGCGAGGCTGGTGAGTTCAGGGGTTCCCCGTAATACCCCGTCAACCCGTCAAGCCGGCACCCCCGCTTTTCCCCCCCGATTCGCCTGGGACACGTGCAGCGCCCTGAACCCCTCGTCATCCGCCATCTACCATCTGAACCTCTTCGCTGATGATTGTGTGGCTGTATACTGATCTTTACCTCCATCTCAAGTAATGGACTCTCTTAACGAGAGCTTCCAACAGCGTCGTAGCCTCGACCAGAACCCGGTAAAGAGACCTCGGGCCTGCATTCACTGCCATGTGCGCAAAGTGCGCTGCAACGCGTGGCAGGTGGGAATTCCCTGTACAAGATGCAAGCGTCGCGACCAGGCCAATACATGCACCTTTCTACAAACCACGCTAGGAGGAGTGGCTAGGTGAATGCAACCGCCTGAACCACCTCATCGTTGACTACTGCTGACACGCTGAACCCTCCAAGGACATCTGCAAAGCGCCAACGACGCATACATGACACATCAGCTGTTGAACACTTGTCCTCCCGTACAGATGGGGAAAATATCTTGGACCCGACTCTCCTAGTAAGATCGAGCATAAGCTCGGATTGAACCCAGTAGTTGACTTACCGGGCAGTTCCAGCCGTCTCTCCCGCCGCCGCCGCTGGAAGAACCGCAACCTCAACAGGACATACCGGCGAGAGAGTACGATGTTGCCACCAGTGAACCGGTGCAGCAACAAGACGGCCAACAAGGACGGGACTCTAGTGTGAGACCGTCTCCCGCGGCCACTGAGCAGGCTGCGAGCATTAGCAGCACGGTGGACTCGGCCACCAAAGAAGAGGACGTCCATTTCCGTATCTGTGAGGAGATGTCGCGGCCCAGGCAGATCGCCCTCTCGCCTTCCCCCCAATCACAGAACACGGACCGACACGAGGTGATTGAGCTGCATGAAGGCGTGAATCCGATGACCATCCTCGGCGAGGCTCTGGGGCGACAGCATCCTAATCGCTTTGTCAGGGTCATAGTCGAGGACAACCACCCCAAGTCCTATCCGCGAC